TTTAGAATATGATTTCTGGGAAGCACCGTGAACTGACATTAAAATAACAATGACTTATACCCAGTTTGGATTTGATTCAACCCACAACACAACCCCAAAAACTTAAAGCTAGAACTTGGAATACAATAGGGTGTAGCAAAAATATAATTGGACAACAAGGTGGTGGTCGTGGGTGGTCTTGCGACAACAAGAACATGGCAGGGGGTGGCGGAGCTGCTCCGACAACTTTGCTTCCTCCTATTTTGCGGTTCTGCCGGCGAAAATGAAGAGGGGGGGAAGGAGGGAGAGGGGGAAGCAGGGTAGTAGGAGTTTTGGGGTGGTGTTTGATTACCAAACAATTATGAAATGGGGTGGCTGGTGGCAGTTTATGGTAGTTCTCGGTGGTGGGTTCCAAACCGAGAGAGAGAGAGAGAGAGAGATAGTGCAAGAGAGAGATAGAGAGGCTGAGATGTTGGCTGGTGAGTTGTGAGGAAATGAAGAAGGAATGCTTCCTTTTATAGCCTTGGCAAGGTCTCATGCAAACATGTTTTCCATACTTTCATAGAAATTCCAACACACCACATACACCATGCCTTGTACCTTTATTTAAGAGTGCACTCAACCAAGGAGAGGGGGAGGGGTATCTCACGTGGGCAAGGGGGGAGGGTATCTTAGTTGATTTTGATCAAGTAGTGCAAGAAGGTCGGGCCATGGTGATGTCACACTTTCGATAATGCCCTAAAAACACACCCAGGTTTGTGTGCCCAAATCCCAAAATCTAATATTTTTTTTCTGAAGGTGCCGTATGAAAAAGTAGAGTTCAAGGATTCCAAAAACTCGAACAGATTAATTTTTTGAGTTGTAGAACTCTGGGAAATTGTTTTAAAGATTAGTGATTAAATGACCCGAAACGTTTGATTTTTCGACTTATGCAAATATTTTTAATAAAAATATTTCAAGTATGAAATTAAATATTAGGCTATGGTCTGAGTCCAAAAACGCTCTCAAAATTTCCATATGAGGTGTACAAGTGCCTCAACAGATTGAAACGGTTTTTAGCAGTTTAAAGAAAATCATTGTTATACTGATTTGGTTTCTTATAACGATCGTATCTTTTGCATATGAACTCCGTTTTGGATGTTCTTCTAACTTCCCAAAAATCATGAATAAAATTTTTCATTTTTAAGTCATCCAAAATCCTTCAAATATTCATATCACCCATTAAAAGGTATGCCAATGTGAAAATAGTTATCAGAGTACAATCCCAGTATCATAAATATGCTAAACATTGGTGGCTTCGCTGCGATCAGGTCGAACCCTTCCCATTTGAGCTAGAAGTACCTGAAACATAAACTTAAACCATAAGCACAAAGCTTACTGAGTTTTCCCCAAAATACCACATACCATACATACAATGGGCCTCCCCCGACATCGATCGGGCCTTGCCTGGCATTGGGCCCCGCCCAATACAAATATTTCTGTAACATGCGATGGGCCATGCTCAACACTCTCAGGCCTCGCCCGCTATACAAAAAAACACATACAATACATGCAAGAGTCACACATACAACTGACATTTTAATAACAATAATCAATGGGTTGGCATTGGTTCCTTCGACCCGCCAAAACATTGTGAGAAGACTCGCCTTAGTCAAATGATGAATAGTCACACACATAGGCTGCTGCTACGATGGCTCCTCAACTGAACACATTCAAACCAACCCTAATAAATAATCAGGGTAATAACCCTTAATAAATGTACCAAATTATCATCTAAAATGCTAAGGGTAAAAGACCATTTTACCCTTCTCTGAAGTGACCGATATAACCAATGGACCAAGCCCCTAAAGATCCAAAGCCCAAGAATGACCCAAAAACCCAAGGCCCACAAATGGCCCAAAAGGCCTTCTGGTAAGTACGTCAAGCGTACCACCATTACACCCCATCTACAGACCTTATCAGTAAGGGGAAAGAACGGGGTGTTGAACGTGTTACGTTGAACGTACACATATGTATGCCCCGCATACTCCCCTGATGGCCAACATTCATTTTAAGCACTTAATGCCTTAAGTCCAAACGTCCAAATCACAAATCTTGCTATTAGGAAACGTATTAAATTATAAAGTCATCAACTTTATGCCTTTGCATGGCTCAAAGAGGCCCAACACCCATTTTTAACATTCTAACTACATAATATGAACATCAACTTTTGCATGGTTGAGCTAAATCCATCAAGATGCTATTTTTATGCATTAGGGACCTCAAAAACATCAAGATCTACTATCCTAAGCTTTTGTAGTAGCTTATACTCACATGAATCAACTCAAGGGACCAAAATATGCCAAAAACCCTAAACTAACTAGATCTAAGAGATGATTCAACAAGGTTGATACTTTATACCTCCAAGAGGATGATCAAGGTGAATAGATTTTGGATCCACAAGATTCAAAATCAACAAGTGCTTCTCCAAAGGGTTCTTCTTTCTTCAAGATGTACTAAAAACACACCAAAACACATAAAAGGCTCAATAGTCTCTAAAAAAGAGCTAGGGTTTTCTTGTAACTGCTTTGGGGATGAAGGAGGCTGATTATAGAAGAGGTCTTGAGATTATAAGGTGCTTAAATAGGGTCCAAACCCTAAATTTTAGGGTTTTCCCCTAACTTGAATATGCCTTGCGTACCATAGGTACGCCCAACATACTTGGGGGAAAACTCTATCTCCAAGCTTCGACAATGTATGTCCCGGGTAGCTTAATTACGCCCTGCGTAATATGCCACCATGAAAAATAAATAAACACTTAGAATTTTAAGAAATTTACATGGGAACCGGGTTCTCCCCCACTTGAATCAGACTTTGTCCTCGAAGTTCGCTGATGCAAATAACTTCGGGTAATGCTTCCGCAACTCCTCCTCGGGCTCCCACGTCCACTCTGAACCCTTCCAGTGCTAACGTTACACCTTCACTAGACCCAAAACCTTGTTTAGCAAGGTCTTCGTCTTCTTGTCTAGGATCACAATCGGTCTCTCTATGTAATTCAGGCGCTCATCCATCTGAATATCCTCCAAAGAAACCACTGCATAATCATCAACCAAGCACTTATGCAGATGAGAGACGTGAAATGTGTTGTAAATCTGACTAAGTTCCATGGGTAGCTCCAAACGATAAGCAACCTTGTCCACTCGGGAAATAACCTTGAAAGGAACAATATATCGTAGGCCCAGCTTGCCCTGCTTCCTAAACCGGATGACACATTTCCAAGGTGACACCTTCGGGAGTACCATATCCCTAACCAGGAATTCCAAATCTGACCGGCGTCTATCAACATAACTCTTCTGTCGACTGTGAGCCGTCTGCAATCTATCGCGCACCTGCTGGATCAACTCAGTAGTCCAGAGCACCACCTCCGTGCTACCCATAACTCGTTGACCGACCCCACCCTAGCAAATCGGGGTTCGATACTTCCTCCTGTAAAGTATCTCAAAAGGAGGTCGATAAATACTAGCATGGTTGCTTTTGTTGTAAGAAAACTCAGCCAATGGGAGATACGTATCCCAGCTACCACCAAAATCCATCACACATGCCAGTAGCATATCCTCCAAGGTCGGGATAATGCACTCACTCTGACCATCGGTATGCGGATGAAAAGTTATGCTGAAGTGCAATCGAGTACCCAAGTCCTCATGGATCCTCTTCCAAAACTTGGAAGTGAACCGAACGTCCCGATCCGAAACCACCAAGACTGGAACCCCATGTCGTGCTACAACCTCTCGGATATAGACATCCGCTAACTTCTCCGCAGAAATGCTCTCATGAATAGGGATGAAATGTGCAATCTTGGTCAATCGATCCATGATGACCCAAATCGAATCCACCCCTCGTGCAGTCTGGGAACACCCAACGACTCCATCTTGTTGTGAGGTTGCTGATGCTCAACCTTGAATTTCCTACAAGTTAAGCACCTCTCCACATACCAATCCACATTCCGCTTCATGCAGGACCACCAATAATCAAGTAGGAGGTCTCTATACATCTTTGTCACTCCCGTATGAATAGAAAACCTCGACTTATGCACCTCCTCCATCAACTTCTATCATGAACCCCTGAATCATGGGACCCAAACTCTCCGATGAAGGGTCAACAATCCCCGACTATCATAATTAAGGGAGGACACCTGAACCACTATGCGCTCACTTCCAATGCTCTTCTTTTATAGCCTCAACTTGAGCCTCTCGAATCTGCTCCAAGAGTGGGGTAATCACAGTCATCCTCTAACAAACATCCATGATCGGTGCACCAGCCGTCTTGCAGCTGAGAGCATCGGCCACCATGTTGGCCTTTCCCGATTGATAAAGGATTTCACAATCATAATCCTTCAACACAACCAACCATCTGCGCTAGCTCATGTTTAGATTTGGCTGATATATCAAATATCTCAAGCTCTTGTGGTCCGTGTAAATGATGCAATAAACCCCATAGGAGTAATGTCTCCAAATATTGAGGGAAAAAACCACCGCCCCCAGCTCTAAATCATGAGTGGGATAATTCACCTCATGAGGCTTCAACTGCCTCGAAGAATAAGCTATGACACGACTCCTCTGCATCAAAACCGCACTGAATCCCTAAATCGATGCATCATAATACACCATGAAATCATCCAGACCCTCTGGCAGGGTCAAAATTGGAGCCTCGATAAATCTCTACCTCAAGGTCTCAAATGCCGCCTGCTGCTCAATCCCCCAACATAATGTAGCAGACTTCTTCATCAACCTAGTAAACGGAACGACGATACTGGAGAAATTATTGATATACCTCCGATAATACCCAACTAAACCACGGAAACTCTAAATCTCGGATGGAGACCTCGGAACCTTCCACTGCAACATGGCCTCGATCTTGGTCGGATCGACCAATATACCCTTGTAGTTGACAAGGTGCCCCAGAAACTGCACCTCGCGCAACTAGAACTCGCACTTGGAGAATTTGGCATACAACTTCTCCCTCCTCAGAGTCTCCAGAACCTCTCACAGATGATCCTCACGCTGCTCCTTGGTCTTAGAATAGACCAAGATATCATTAATAAATACAATGACTGACCAATCCAACATCGGTCTGGAAACCTGGTTCATGAGATCCATGAATGTTGTTGGTGCATTGATGAGCCCAAAATGCATCACCAGAAACTCGTAATGACCATAACGAGTCCTAAATGTCGTCTTCTGAACATCCTCATCCCGAACCCTCATTTGATGATAACCCGAACGCAAATCAATTTTGGAGAACCAAGACGCACCCTGCAACTGGTCGAACAAATTGCCGATCCTAGGAAGCAGATAACGGTTCTTCACCGTCAACTTGTTCAGTTCCCGATAATCAATGCACATCCTATGGGAGCCATCTTTCTTCTTTACAAACATAATCTGCGCTCCCCACGGCGAACAACTTAGTCTGATAAACCCCATGTCTAACATCTCCTGCAACTGTGTAGACAACTTCTGCATCTCTGGCGGTGCTAATCGATAGAGTGTTTTGGCTATCGGAGCAGCACCTGGAACTAGATCTATACAGAACTCCACCTGCCTCTCCAGAGGCACTCCGGGCATGTCCTCCGGGAACACATATGCATAATCTCGAACAATCGGCACATCATCAATCGTCCTCTTCTTCTCCTCTCTGGTATCTAATACATAAGCCACAATACGAGAACATCCTTTTTGTAGATATCTCCTAGCTCTCGCAGCTGAACAAAGGGTCGATCCATGCTGATCACCCTCTCCATGAATAACTAGTTCTACCCCACTTGGGGTTCGAACCCGAACTAACTGGTTCCCGCAGTCAATCATCGCGCCATTAGGTCTCAACCAATCCATTCCCAATATCACATTTCTCTCACGCAAAGAGATATGAACCAAATCAATTAGATACCGCTCTGTAACGTCCTAAAAATTCATAGTAAAATTTTCATTTTTTAAAAAAAAAACCATACAAAAGAGTTGTTCCAAAATTGATTAAAGTGAGTATATTATTCAAACATCAGAGTAAATATCATAATTTTCCAATGCGGAAAACTATGGGGGATGTTGTGCAGTCACACTGGGCCCTTTCCTTTCGTACCAGAAGTACCTGAAACCATAAACATAAAATCATAAGCACAAATCTTAGTGAGTTCTCCAAAATATCACATACTATACATACAATAGAGAATGATACGTGCTAACCATAGTCCCGCCATTATGACATGAGCCGTATCATGGTCTTGATGGGTTTTGAGCATAACAAACAAAAACCTATGTGTTCATGCAACCCTAAATTTCCGATCTATGTTTTCTCTAAATGAGCATACAACTTTTGAACATCAAACAGAAAACCCTAGAAGGTATATACTATTTCCAAAATCTATAAAATAGGGTTAAGAAAATTTACCTTGATTGTTATATACCAATAACAAGGAAATCCTAATCTTCTTCAAACTTTGAGAGCAAACATCACAAGTGTCACGCCTCTAATGGTTCACACCCAAACTAAGCAAGAGGATGAGAGAGGAGAGAGGAGGAGAAGCTCTTAGAAATTTGGTTATCCTTCTGGGATTCAGATGGCTGAAAATCTCAAGCCCTATGGGTCTATTTATAGTGCAGATAGGACACACTGGATAACCCGAATTTGAATAAATATTATTAATTCAAATTGGTAATTATCCACCTCCTTAATTATCCATATGTGATAATCTAGAAAACCTAATTATCCTTATGAATTTCGTCCACCACCTTCTAGAAAGGTTCTGAAACCTCTAGTTCGACTATTGAACAATTGCACTTTAGGTACTTTCAATTAATTCTTTTAATCCCAGAATTAATTCCAATTAATTTATGATTAAATATTAATTAAATAATATGATTTCTAATTAATATATTATTTTCATAATACATTAATAAATCATTTATTACAGTTTATCAATTACATAATAAATTCAACCTCTCTCCAAAAGTCATCATGTCTAGTTGCTAGTTACGAGGGCAAGCCAAAAGGATTGTGCTACTATCAATTCAAGTATATACCAATTATAGTTATAGGCTGAGACACCGAATCCAATAGTCTCCCACTTGGATAAGTCTAATAACTATAATTGCCAGCATAACTTCAAAAACTGATTAGCAAATTGTAGCTCTCAAAGCCGTTGTCGAACTCTGACCTAGTCAGTTATGTGTCCTAAGATAAGTGATCAAATATTCCTCCTTTCTACAACATATCGAACAGAAATTAGACATGGATTATAATCAATCTCATTGTCTAATTTTTGTTTCCCGATTTCTGATTTATGACGACCGAAATCAGACTATTAATTGAACACATCAATTCAGTCCATGCTTGGCCAAGCGTTTTAGATGCCGACATCAAAGCGTCGAGGGGCCCACAGATATCCGTTTTCCTGTTAGGGTAAAAGAAACAGATAAACTTTGACTTATATGCTTGCAATATTCACTCATCAAATCACACACAACAATACGTTTTATAACATCGAGTTACTGATGCGTTTACGTATTATCAATGCACAACTGAATTGTAAACAACAACTCATATATCTCCGTTTAAAGAATATAAGATATTATCGTCTCAGAATTACTCATGATAAAATCTATGAAGTAATTCTCTGAGCGTGGGTTTATCTAATACTTAAAATTCCCATTTTCAGAGTACTCAGGAAAATTGTAGCAAAACCACTATTATGTCTAATCTCCATAGACAATCTACAATTCAATTCATGAAAGTATTAAGGCGCTACTTACTTCCAAAAGTACGAGCGACTGTGGATGTTTTGAATAATCTAATTATTTGGGAAGTAAATGTTACACCCCCAAACCAGGATGGCGGAAACATCCGTGGATGGATGATTTTCATGTATTGTATCATAACAGTTGAATAATAGTAAAGAAAGCAAACATGACCATCATATATATATAATTGAAAAAGTTACATCATTGTAAGTGTTACATGTTTCAAAAGTCAATTACAATATGATGACAAAAAGACTTGTTTGACGCCTTAGCGCCCCATCCTTAAAAGCTGGTGTTTACCTGTTTTACTGATTTCCTGAGAATACAAGTTGTTTGAAAAAGTGTCAACATTTAAGTTGGTGAGTTTATAAGAGTTAGTTATGAAAAATAGTAAGTCTTTTTGTGAAAAGATATCGTGTTTGTTTCCAAAAAATCCGATATTTTCTAATAAATGAAATGTAATCCGTTCACTTGTAAAATAAGGGTGTTTGTTCCAGAAAATCCAATATTTTCTAAAGAATGAGATGTAAGCCGTTTACTTGTAAAATGATAATGTTTAATCCAGAAAATCCAATATTTTCTAATGAATGAGATGTAAGCTGTTTACTTGTAAAATGATAATGTTTAGTCTAGAAAATCCGATATTTTCTAATGAATGAGATGTAAGTTGTTTACTTGTAAATTGATAATGTTTAGTCCAGAAAATCTGATATTTTCTAATGAATGAGATGTAAGCTGTAAGAGTTCCAAAACCGAAAGGTACGAGTGTTTTCCATACATTAAAGTAGAAATATGTAGTTTTATTCGTATATAAAACTGTTTGAAGAAGTGTGTTTCCGTGTAAAATAAACGTATCGTCGTTTCACTATGTGAGTTTTTATAATCGTGCTTTTAAGATGCAGTGCCTGCCTCGTCGTTCTTCAGGCGTTAAATTATTTATGACATTTGTCACCCATAACCTGCCGGTCTGACTATAGCTAGTAGTCAGGGTGTGGGATCATCAGTCCTGTATAGATCTATATACAAGTATCACGCTCTCGTATCGGAGATTCTGGTTATAAATACAGGACTTTCTGTATACCTCAGCTAGGTACGATGAAGACAGTGTCTCACAAATTCGTTCAATGAGTGTACGTGTTTTTGAAATGAAAACATTTGTAAATGACATTGTCCCATATTTACAGGATAACGTCGAAAGTGTCGTAAAACAGCGATATATGTACTTATATTGTTTTTACCCTTTGCTCAACGAGTTACAAAGGGGTAAAGTTTCATAAATTATATTCGTAAAGTTTTGATAAAATGAACGTTTTGTTTTTGAAATATATATATATATATATATATATATATATATATATATATATATTTGTATGAATAATGTAATGATTATCGAAATGTTGTTCGTGAAATCACACGCGATTGATAGTATAACCATTTCGTGGTTTTAACGCTTTTCGTAAAATAGTATAGTAAAGTATTCAAAATGTTCGCGTTATAACGAAAATATTATTGTGTGTTACTTGTATTCCCCCCTAAAAACATAGAAAAAGTCTTGAAAATGTAGGGGTATGAACTCACCTCAAGCGTGATTGCGGTTAGATAACGAGATAGAAATGGTAATCTTCGAGTTTAGAATACGTGAAGGGTGTTGTATGCTAACGGTTTTAAACACATAATAATGTGTAAATATATCGAACTAACATAAATATGATTTTATAACACCAGTTTGTAAGAACTTACAATGATTTCTTTAATGAAATAGCTTGAAGAAATGAAGTTCCAGGAGGTGTTTGATCTTTAAACTTTGAAAGGAAATGGGTTTGTATTTGTGACAACCCGAAATTTTTTGCCTCGTAAGTCCAACCATTCATTTCAACCGAGTGTCAGACCCGTTTCTGCTACTAGTTAGCATTGTTTAGAGTCTGTTTAAGGGTTCTAAGCCTAGTACACTTAAGGATTGGGTGTAGGGTTGTATCAGCTTAAGTTCATCGAGTTGAAATCGAGCCGGAAACTCCATGACAAGGAGTTTACGGCCGCAAACTAGGAGTTTACGGTCGTAAACTCTTGTGGCCGTAAAACTATCCTCCATATATGAGAGTACTTCATTTTCTTCATTTCTTCAAAGTCCTAGCCGCAAACTTCCATTCTCTCTCAAGTATCATCGAATTCTTCATCCCGATCTTCAAAAACGTAAGTGATTCTTCCATCTAGTTGTTGTTATTCTTCTT